ACCGCTCCCTGCTGTTTCCAGGAGCACACGCCTGAATCCGATCGTAAGCAAACAGCGAAAACCCCCAGGTTGAGGAACATCCTACGAAATAACTGATCCACACTCTTTAAAACTATCAAGGCCACGAAAACCAGACCGACCGAATGGTTCTAGATTAAAAGAGATGAAAAAGACCACTACATACAATGTGGTCTGGGATTAGCTTTGGACCAAAACTTTTGACTTTTGCTATAATGGACATTAATGGGACAACTAATGAAATGAAAATGTCTACAGATTAGTACTAGAGCAGTCCTAGTCAATGTCCTAATTCTGAAAATTGCATGGTGGTTCTGCAAGAATGTTTTTAGGAACTGCCCACTGAAGAATTTACAAACAAAGGTGCATCATTATCTGCAACTTTCAAAAAAAGAATTATAGAGAGAGAAAGAATGATCCCGGAGATGTGGTAAAATGTTAATATTAAGGGAACCCGGGAATTTTTATAACTTTCGATTTGTTACAAGCTTATAATTTTTGTTGTTACAACTTTCCCATAAATCTGAAATAAATTCAAAGTAAAAAAATTAAGGGAAAAAATATACTACCCCAACCCCCGCCCAGCCAATGACACGAACTCCCTGAAGTGTTTGGTCGGCAAGAAAGGGAGGCTTCGATCACTCGATTTGCTTTGTGGGGAGTCTCTCCTGGCCCAAGGAGATGTGCCGGGAAGAAACTGATACGAAACCAGTGTCCAGGAGACGGAGACTCAGAAAAGGCTTCGGGTGCCGAAAGGACTGAGCAAAGCTACAGACCGGCCATGATTATGCAAAGTGCTTGCTGTGATTCAACCCCGGCACGCGGCAGAAAAAACCCTGGAAAGAATGACAAGTCTTTAACGGGCTTCAACCTGAAATCTAGTCTCCCGGATTCCACACATCCTAAGGAAATATTAACACCAGTGACTCAGCTTAACGCGATGCTGCTGAAATTATCAGCAGAGCCTGGCCGGCTGTCCACACCACACGACACTTAGCGTCACGATAGACAACTCCGGAACCAGGAAGAGCACACGCAGGGAGCCCATCATCCCACCTTGGTTTCCAATCAGATGAAGCCTATGTTCTCGGGCTCAAGAATCCATCTGACCCTGCGCCCGCCACAGCTCCTTCTCCCCAAAGCTCATCGGCCTTGAGCACGTCCAGCAGATGATCAAGGAAACAACGGGAGCTCCAGGGGTTTCCAAGGAGAGGCCAGAGAGACGTTATGCAATGCTTTAATGCAGGTAAAATCTTGTCACTTTAAGAACTATGCGGAAAATCTGAAGAGAGCTGGTCTCTGAGATGACATCAGTTGTCAAGTGGAGCTGAAATGCAGCTGCTTGACCACAAGATACCCACGTCTTAGCTGGTTTTTACCTCAGGGAAAAAGTGTCTCACACATGGATCTCGGGCACCTGTCAATGGTTAAGGGCCATGATGGCCGCAACTAGTCGTTCACTTTACTAAGCCAAATGTACTACCATTTGTGTCCAGTCTCGTGCTGGGGACACAGTGACAAATAAAACCCCTTCGCTGCCCTCAAGAAGCTGACATAGACAAGCTGCGCGCTAAGACAGGGGTGGGGGACGGGGACACGGACGACCACAGAGATGGGGCTGGGACAGCCACACCGCACTGCAGCCCTGAGGCCAGGCCCGCCCCATCTCCTGACAGCTCGGACACGCCCCGCACCAGGGTCCCACCACCATGTGGAGATGGAGGGGGGCGGTCCTGACACCTGTCAGGGCTCCTCAGCTGGCTCAGCCCCCTGGGAAGCATCCGCAGATGGCGAAGGCCGGGACCAGCTCTGAGGCAACGTGCTTACCTGTGGCTTCAATGTACTCAATACACCTCTCAATAAAAATAGGGATTGGCTTCTCTGGAGTCACGACGGTCGTTAAGGGGACCCCAAAATAGTTACTCTCCCAGGTTGCCTTCGTGATGGACGGCCGGGGTTTGGGCTTTGGTTTCTGTCCAGGAAGAGAAAAGAAAGCAGAAAAACAAAGTGAGTCTCGACATGCACTGAAACATCAGGAAGGCTTGCAGAGGGGAGCTCGCAGTGGCGTGGAAACTGCTGGAAAGGGTCCAAGCGGCATAAAGAGGCCTATTTTGTTCGTCTCACTAATTTTGTATTTTCCAACCTCCGAATGTCACATAAGATGCCAGCAAGCTGCCACAAAGTCGCCCCCGGAGTGTGAGACTGCGCTATCAGAACAAAGGTGTTTATAAGAAGCGGGCCATGTTTACTTAGTGACAATGAAATGACTATCCACATCCTTTATGAGGGGTGCACTGGAGTAAACAGGAAGTTTTCCAAACATCCCACGCGAGTAATAGATGTGATCCACCCAAAGGCGGCTAAATTCCTACAAAGATAAAAGATGAAACTGAGAACTAATAATTTCCTCTTTACAGGACAGAGAGACGCATGGGTTCTGATGGCCCCAAGTGGGAATTCCCTTCCACACCTTAGCCTGGGGTGAATGGGTTCTGCACTAGGAGAGTAAAACGAATCCAACGAGGCAAAGAAAAGAATCCTCTGTCTTTCCTTTCTCAGTCACCTTCCTCATGTAGTCAGAGCAGCACAGCAACTACTTGAGAACTTACTACGTCGCAAGGAAGTGCCAAATACTTTTTTTTTTTTTTAAACCTCCGGATGTTCGATCATTCCATTGTACAAAGGAAAAATGTCACATGCCTAAATGACACAACTGGTAAGCGAGTGCTGGAGAGTCTGTCCCCAAAGACCCTGGTATTTTATGTCCATGGGTCTTCACTACTGTTAGAAGTTATCCAGATTGCACTGCACCCCAACCACTTACTCGGTCCCCGGTTAGCGGTCCGCCTATCCCGAAAACTTTCAGAAGGCGGCGATGAACCACAGCGTTAGGAGCACAGGCTCTGTGGTCAGACAGACTGACTCGGGCAAGTGACTGAAATGTTCTACGACTCAGCTTCCGCTTCTGTAAAATGGGGTTCTTAACACCCACACCACAGATCTGCTGTGAATCTGGAATGAAGTCCTGCATACGAAGAACTTCAGCGTCTACCACACAGTAAGCGTTCGGCTGACGGAAGCGCGGCTCTCCGGCTCCTCAGGGTGCTAGAAGGTGCCTCGTGAACTGTCCTAGCGCTGCGCAGGCGGAGGAAGCACAAGGTCACGGCTCACTGTCTAGTCCCGGGAACCACGGCTGCGAGGCGGTCTGGGGACTACAGAGAGCTCCCTTGCAGCTTCCCAGACGGTTCTGCTTCTTATTCCTTCTCACCACCTGACCTGGAAGCCTCGGTTTTACCGCAGGACAGTGCTCGTTTTCACAGGCAAATCCTGCACGATTGGGACGGGCAAAAGGAACGTTCCTGACATCCAGATGGCCTTCTTTGCACATTCGGATTCTACAGCTGATGAACGATATGAAGTCGACCCCAGTGCCTGACGGCTGGGACCTGGCTGCTTGGCGCTCTCTGGCCTTTAGACAGCGCTCACATTTATTGGGTGACTACTGTATACCAGGTGTTGACCCCTTCCCGTACGTCGTATCATTTCACCCTCACGACCAGCCTGTGAGCAGGGTGCTTCCCTGAGATGTTAAGTCACTTGACCAAAGTCACAGACCTTGTCTGTCAGGATTCGAACCCAGGTCTGTCAGATTCGAAGCTTAAATCATTTATGTTGTACTTTGTGCAAGTAGAAGATGCTGGAAAGAGAGTCCAGATTGGTTATTTCACGTGAAGGCACAACATAAATCGTTAATTTGTTTTTCCTTACTTCTTTGTAAAAAGTGTGAAGTCCGAGACTGTTTGCCCCAGTCTACAGGGGAGCAGCGGCAGCCATTCCCCGCAACCTGAGAAGCTGTGACACTGGTCTTAGGACCAGGCTCTGTGGAGTGAGTGAGGGGCTCTTCTCTGAGACTGCAGGATCCATTCACACTGAATTACGACCCCCATCCAGTCAGCAGGCTGTATGCTGGACGGTCTCTGCCTTTGGGTTGTTATTCCAGGTACTGTCAGCCGACAGCCCAGCAACGGGCTTGTTCCTTCTTTCACGTACATTTTATTCTCAGCTGTTCTTTTTCTGCCACTTGTTTGCACAGGAAGTCCTTAAGAGAATCTCAGACTAAACAGGAAGTGATTTGTTCCCAAATAAAGGGTACCAGAGGAATGAAGATGGGCAGGATAAGGAAAAGGCGATGGCTGACCCGACCTAGGAGCTAGTTAGTTAGTTGTGCTCTTCAGAGGGTTTCATGCAGAGACTTCCACATACTTTACAGTTTATAAGCTGTGCACATTTAAAAGTAAAAAAGAAGACCCATTCTTCTAAATGGGTCTCACTGACTTGGAAATGAAACCGATTGCTGGAGATACATCTGGATCCATTTACCTTGATCCTATTTGGTTACCTTCTCTTTTAGTAGATAGTTTAACAAAGGCCAAAACCTCAGTTGTATTTCTGTGGTTTTAGGAAAAACCATTTGTTTAGAGCATTTTTTTCCTCATGTGAGCGTCCACAAAGGCGCTGATTATTTTGGAGAAAGTATCTCAATAATGTCGATGAGCATGGGCTTTGGATAAAGGTAAGACTGGGCATTACCACGGCTGTTTCCAATAGCGACAGGACTATCTCATGGAAAGAGAACAGATTATTTTGTATGATTCCATAGGGTCACGTGGGGGGGACAGAAGTGGAAGACACGGAGAAGCAAGTTTGGCTCTTATAAAGAGAAATTTAGAAAACGAACCCCCCCCCCCAGCTGTTTAAAAATGAAGGGACTGCCCCATACCTATTTGAAGCAAAGGCTGCAACCCGCCTGCCACGCCCGTTGGCGAGGAGATGCTGCGTGTGATGGAAGGCCTCTCACCTGGAGTCCAAGACTTAGCCCGGCACTTTGGCTTACAAACGCGGAGATTACATCTCTCTCTAAGATGTAAACAAACTCTGGTTTACGGAATGTCAAATACCCCCTTGGAATAACCGAAGGCTCTGTCGGGTGTCACAGAATTAGGTAAGGAACCCTTGCGCAGCTGACTCCAAGCTTCTTCGTAAGGAAGCCGGCATCTGCAGCGCACGCCAAGGGCTGGGCCAGGCTGCTGGCGGGGCGAGCACCACGCAGGGCATCTGAGGGGCTGCTGGCACACATTGGGCGGAAATGCCATTCTTCTGAGTGGCCTGCCAGATGTCTCCGTCCCCGGTCAGACGTGTGTCACTCATGAGGGAGTCACAGGAACCCTCCCGACATCAGGTCCTTGGAGAGGAAAAAGTAACACCATCCCAAACATCCACCTTCTTGGGGGGACAGTTACTTAACAGGCTGACCTGAAACAGCATCTAGCCAGAGGAAACCCAGCCCTGACAACAAGCTACACATCTGTGCCTCCAAGTCTGGAGTGTGACTGAGTCAAAACTGAGACGACAGTGATTCATCCGGAGAGGTCACGTGCGGGACGCTGTGCTAGGTGCTCAGACCAGCCTTCAAGGAAGGGGCCTACGCAGCCCATTAAACAGATGAGAAAACGGAGGCGCACAGTCACGCCCAGAACTGAAAAGAACCGGGACTCCAGGGTCGGTGATCGATGACCGCCCCCTGCGTGAACATCTCGTGACGAAACGCCACGGACAGAAACCAAGGACCGGTCGGTCAGCTTGAATCCTCTTCACCTTGTCCGTTTGAAACAACATTTTTTGTTCCTTACTCTTGATACTAACCGGGCGGCAAAGGAAACAAACGAACCACCGGTTTCTGGAGGGGTCGCAATGCAGAGAAATGGGGACTGGAATTTGCTTCTTGCTTCTCGGCTTTTCCCAACTGAGAAAAGAGCAAGGAGGGGACACTCGACTTGGTGGCGTGGAGAGATGTCAGTCGCCGGCCTGCAGGATGCTGAGCCCGCTCCACAGCGCCTCCACGTCCACGGGGGCAAGAAGAAGACTGGAATGGCAGCCAAGGACCAAGAAACAGGATCAGCCTATACGATGACTGGGTTCCAGAGCCTCGCGTGCAGTAGGCGGCCAATAAACTTCCTGAACAAAACCAGATTCCAATGGTGCACGGGGCCAGTGTTTGATATTTCTTCACGTTCAGGCTGCCTCTGTGGGTCCAGAGGTTTCTCCTTGTCCTGACACTGTGCTGCTCGCCCTCGGATGCGAGGGGCTGAGGCTCAGGTCTCATCCACGCTGACAACCGTGTCGCAGACCATCACTTCCCTGGGTGACCGAGGGCACTGAACAGGGATAGTCATTTATGTACTCATACGGCAATCTCCCATTGTGCTAAGTTCCTAGAGGGCAAGAATCCTGGCATTTTTCTTTTGGAACGAATTTGCCCAAGGTCACATGGCAAACTCGCAGCAGAGCTAATACCACCAGCAAAGCCATCGCTCACCCTCAATGAGCTTACGATCTAATTGGTAAGAGAAGGCCTGCATCCACAGTAAGCAACGTGACCTAGGTGTCAGATGACAGATCCCAACTGAGCCACCAAGAGGATCCTGTGGAGCCAACAGAGAGGGCAGCCACTCTTCCCGTATGAAGACCATTCTATCTTCTGTGGGAACGGCAGGTACGGCCGTGTAGTGATTCTAAAGTGTCAACTTCAAATATTCTCTCCTGGTCTCCATAACCCCTTATACGTGTCAAATTACTTAACAGATTTTAGAGTCAGAAAAGACGATTACTAGAGTTGTATCGCTGAGCGCATCCTCTTAAATGCTCAGTAACAGATCTAATAAAAGAAGTAAAACAACAGAATCCAGGCTGCTGGATCCTTCCTTCTTTTTTTTTAAAGGAGAAACACCATATACAGAATGTAGTCTGGAACAGGGACAGGGTCCTCTGAATGGTGACAACTCTCCCTTTTGAGAGGGAAACTGATAAAGCAGACCTGGGAGTGGAGGTCCCCAATCCCTGGGCCATGGACCGGGAGCGGTCCCTCGTCCGTTAGGACCCCGGCCTCACAGCAGGAGGTGAGCAGCAGGCGAG